AAAAATGAAAATGAGAAATGTTCATATGGCGCTTCATCAGTTGGAAGGTGTTGTTCGAATGCGGCTATGAGTCGTTAGGGCAGAAAGCGACGTCTCGCTTTTTGCAGCGTGAGACTTTTTCGCTGCGGGATTCACAGGTTCCTTCGTGACAGAGGCTGACCGGGATTCTCGCAGCGAAAGAGCTCATCGTCAGCGCTGCAAGAAGCGGAAGAGTAGCCGAGTCCCAGAGACCCACACCCATGTAGTGTAGCTATGATTGGTGGGGTATATAACCAACTAGACTTGGCTCAAACCAGCCTGCTAGCATGTCAGCCACAGCTCTGCAGAAGCCTATGTGCAGCTAATTTTTTTCAAGTATATGTTGTACTGACCCAAAAGACAGAATATTTAGAAGCGAGATTACTTCCCGGGTTTCGTTCAGTCAATGAATGCAGAGTCTCTTTCAACGCACACTTGTCTTTATCCAAATGAGACCTTCCTGACTGTGACTGTCTTTTACTTTTCAGGATGAATTGCTCTTCCGTACCTTCGTTGAGAAAACACATTCATGATTAGCGTGGCTCGGACTATTCCTGTTTGGAAGTAGAAATTACTTCGGGCCAGTCTTCCCATAGTTAGTGTAGTTTTTCAGTGATGTTAACAAGTTACTGAAAACATCTCATTCCACTACTATTTCAGCATTCTTCCATAGGGACTGCAGTGAGGAGTTGTTGAAACGAGTGCCGTGTGCTGAATGTTGGCCGGAAACTACTGCAGATTATAGTTCTATGACTGTCAACAAGTCAATACCAATTTATAATGAAGTAGGTGAGTGAGGTAATAAATTTCAAATCAATATAACAGGACTGATATCCATCGTAATGAATCCGCAAACCTTTGATTATTTGTTATTATTTTAACCTCTTTTCTTGTAACTGCTGAAGGATACCTTTCGTTTTTGAATATTTGTTTGCTACCTGATCATTTTAGGCGTTGTTGACAATGGCATCGGAGACCAAGTCACGCATGAGTCCTGTGCAAGGAGCAGGCGGCGCTCCCGCTGTGCGCATTACAGGTTCCCAGCCTGTGCAGGACAAGAAGAGCGGTGGATGTTGCTGAACGAGACTGCTGGACCAGACCGTAAAATGCTCATCATTAATTTTCTCCGTTTATATCTATTCTCCATGCTAGGTAAACTTTACACTGTGGTCGTCGTTCTCCATTTCTATTATTTGCATTCCCGTTCTGATGTTATTTTTGATCCGTGCTGAAAGTGCCCTATGGCACTCTCGCAGACAGTGGGTGTTTTGTTTGAGAGGTGGTATACTTGTCTGCGTCTGTTCATTTTTTTTTGCATACAACTGGCTGGTAGATGTGGTTAAAATCCGTCTGTTAGCTTTTGTATAGAGCTGCACACCGCCGCACTTTCGCAGTTTTTACCGTAGTTGGACATGTGACCCTTCTTGTAATCAACTTCCATATAATATAGTCGCTCCCTGATATAATACTTTTAGCCCCATTTTATCCATCAATTCTTCTTTGAAATGTAAATTGTGATTGTGGACCGAAAATGAGCGTTGTGCTATGCTTTTGCGTGTGAGGTTTTCCCCTCGAAATCAATCCGTTTTTCTTCC